ATGAATTAGGATGTTAAGCCTAAGTGAATGTCCCAAGGCTAACCAAGAGGGGGGTGAATTGAAGATTTAAAAATTATACTTATACTCTTGGATTTTTAGAAAACTTTTTTAATTATTAATGCAAGTTAAATTTAAAGTTTAAAAAATAAACTTTCAACCAGAGTAAACAACTTGCAATGAAATTAAATGCGTAAGAAAAATAAGAAAGAACACACCAGATTTATAGTGGTTCGGTCAAACCTTGACCTACGTCCACTCCCCGGAGGCACCCTCCGAGTATTGCACTAATACCACAAAGTGACTCTCCTTTTTCCCCCACAGTAAGGCGGAGTAGCCTGTACAAAATCACTTTCACCTTCCCCGGTGCGGCGGAGTAGCCAGGTTCTTTGACACCAAAGAGATCTTATTCTAGCCAAAACTTCCCTCAAGAAGACCCTAGAATCCGATGGTACTGAGGTTCAAGTTTGCCGGAGCAACCATGTGAATATCCCCTCCACACTCCCTTGAAATCACCTTCATGTATCTTCTCCCTCTCAAACTCCACCCTTTTCTCTCTCCCTTTCAAGTTCTCTATTCTAGTTTTCTCCAAAAGAACGAAGACACAATGACTGTCAAAGATACACTTTATTGTCCTTTTACACTCTCCAAGTGTCGGAAGAGAACCGGATCGATGTTGTTGAACTTCACTTGAGAGCCTTCAGAGGAGATGGGCAGAAACATGGAGATCTTCTTCTTCAAGTAACCTTGTGAATCCCTCACAAACCCCTCACTTGATCTCTCACTCTTCACTCTTACAATCTCTCCCAAACACTCACACTCAATGATCCCTCTCAAGAGAAAACAACTCAAAAGGAACTTGTAATAGTTTCTAGGACTCCTTATATAGAAAGGAAATGAAAAACATTCCAAAAAACTACTAATTTCAAGTTTTTCTGCGCAGTGGACCGTCCCGTACGAACCTGAGTTAGTACAGACAAACTGTGTAAAAAATTGTCCCGTACGAACCATTTGTGCATCAGTATGAACTAGTTTCATCCTAGGACGAAATAGGTTCATCCTTGGATGAAAAATTTCATCCAATACAAACAGTTATATAAAAGGTCGGTTCCGAAAATTACAGAACGTTGCCAGAAACTACCATAGTTGGTTCCCATCATCCTGGGATGAATTGGACTTCGTCTGGACGAAATTTTTATAGAGAGCAATTCGTCCTAAGATTAAAATGTTTCATCCTGGATGATCAGGACTTAGAAAAAATTTTCCAGTTCAGTTCATGTCTGTTCCATTACTCTTACAAGGAGATAACTGATCTGACCGTCCCGTACGAACAATGTTTGTCCCGTACGATCAGCACAAAACTTTTTAAGATCTCCTTTAGTGTGTGTGAATTTATTCACTCAATTACAATCACTCCCTCTCAAATTTAATTTAAATAAAAAGTACAAGCTTCAAATTTACAAAGTATTTCATGTTGAATTTGATTTGAGTCTTCGTAGTCTGAGGTTCGATTTTCCTGAAATATTAGTACACACAAGAGCAAAAACAAATCTTCCAAAAACTGTTAGGAGATAACAACACATAAAATAATAATATTTGGAATCATCAAAACTATACAAGTTGCAAGAATGTAAAACATGTAAATACCAACTTTCCTAACTCCAACAGAGTAGAGAAAACTAGATAACATTACCCAGCCGAGAAGCCAATCTCACCAGATAACACAGGCCTAGAATGCACACCCATCTCATGTGGACCAACAAAACACAAACACCTAAGAGTCCAAAACAAAGAACACAGTGCTCCCAGAATAATAATCTTCTGAATAATACATTCAGGGAGAACATAAGCTCATAATCCCAACAGTTATCATTAATAAAATTACTAACCTTAACCGCAGAATTAGAAGTAGAATTAATAAGAATGTCAATAGAGCAAGAATTTAACCATTGATCTTGCCAAAAGAAGATGCTACCACCTCCAAGACCCCAAGAAAGACGAGGCTCCACTTCCCACTTGACCTTACACATTCTCTTCCAAACTTTGGAATCACCGATTTTTAAAGCACACATAGAGGGATGCTTCCCCATATAATACTTAGAAGGCATAAATTTAGCCTACAAAGATAGATTAGAATGGAATGTAAAGCAAAGCTTGTAAGAGAAAGCAAAGGCCAAACCAATCGTACTTTTACAACCAAGACCACCTTCTTCACGCACCCCACAACATTTGTCCCAAGAAGCCCAAAAAATCTTATTTTAACTACCAACTCATTTTCAAAAAAAAACTTGTTAAGGATAATGTCAATTATTTTACACACCAGATTAGTTGGATGAATGTTTTGAAAAGAGTAGACAGGGAATGAAGAGAGCACACTTCTAATAAGCGTAAGTCTACCCTAAAAGCTCAAACAGCTAGAATCCCAAGATTGCAATTTATTATGAATAGAAGTAATTAATTCATCAAATAAAAATGATCTCTTTGTACCTTAATATAACGGTATTCCAAGATATTTAATAGGTAAATGACCATGAATGAAACCAATTTGATTTTTAATAGCCGAGATATGATCAGCCTTCATATTATTAGGAACCAGGAAAGGGCATTTATGATTGTCTAAAGATAAACACTAACAGAATGGAAATAGTGAAAAACTCCATCACTTTCATAATATTATTATGAGAAGCAATCATAAAAATGATAAATTCATCGGCAAATCATGGATGAGATATAGGAAAGCCACCCCTAGTGCGAAAAAACAAATTGGGTTGATTTTCAAACATTATAGCATTGCATCTAGAATGATAATCAATATAAATAATAAATAGAGCAGGGGACATAGGATCACCTTGCCTTAAACCATGTGATGATTTAAGGAAACCACGGATCTTACCATTAATAACCAAAGAGAAAAAAAACCTTCAATGCAATTTCTAATGAGATCAATAAAAGATTAATTAAAGCAAAATAAATGCAATATCTTATAGATGAATTGCCAACTAATATTATCATAAGCTTTAGAAATAACCAACTTGATAATAGAATTACCACCTGTAACCTTGACGTCCAAATCATGACAAAATTCTTGAGCCAGCAAAATATTGTCAGAAATGGAGCGCCCTTTAACAAAACCCATTTGAAACAAAGAAATAATCTTAGGAAGAACATTAGTCAAATGGGACATAATAATTTTGGAAAGCAATTTATTAAAAAAAGTACACAAGCTAATACGTCTAAAGTTATTCCAATTACTAGCATTATTCATCTTAGGAATAAGCACAATAGAAGTGGAAGAAAAAAATTTGGGCATAGAATTACTAGCAAAAAAATCTAAAGCCACAACTAAAACATGATCATCTTTAATAATATTCCATGAATTTTGAAAAAATTTAGTGGTAAAACAATCAGGGCCAGCCACGGAATTAATATTCATATCAAAAACAATATTTATTACTTATTCAATGGTAGGAATCCCAATAAGGCGCTCATTATCCTCAACAGAAATGAGAGAGGGGATAATATTAGGGTTAGTGATGTTACCAGTATTGACCACCTTATTGAGCCTATTTTGAAAATGGTTAACCGCCGAAATGGCAATTTCTTCATCCTCCTCAATCATAATACCATCATCACGAGTAATTTTATGAATCAAGTTCAAAGCATGTTTCCTATTAACCAAGGCTTGAAAGTATTTGGAATTACTATCCCTTCTTAAATATGCTTAGCAACAGCCTTTTGTTTCCAATAAGTTCTTCTTGGGCATGAAGTTTAAACAGATTAGCCTTAGCCTCTCTAAGGGAAACAAAATTGGCATTAGAAAGAGAGCTTTGACAATCCATTTCAATAGAATTGACCATCTCTTCAGCACATAAAATATTAGTAAAATTATTTTTAAAAATATTATGGTTCCACAAATTTAAAAGCTGCTTGAGTCTTTCCAATTTAAACCAAAGCCTATTCATACCCATAATAGAATTATCAGGATGCAAATCACCTTTCTAATTTCCTTGAACAACACTAAAAAAAGGAATCATGTTGAAGCCACATATTATGAAAATAGAATCGAGGAAAAAGCATTAACCTGTCTAATATTAAGAGCTAGCAGTAAAGGGAAGTGATCAGAAAGAGTATGACTAAGATGCTCAATAGAAAAGGTACTAAGAGAATTAATCCATTGATCATTAAATAAAATGAGATCCAACCTTTGCCATAATCAACCTCTATTCCAAGTGAACGGGTTACCAGAAAAACAAATTTCAATAAGATTGCAATCCATAATAATATTATTAAAATTATCCATAGAATGAAAATTGGAAGTATAACCCCCAGATCGCTTAGAGGGATTAGAGATGGTGTTAAAATCACATCCAACCAACCTCATGCTACAGCACATGCTATGAAAATCAGTTAATTACTTCTAAGGAATTTTTCTAATACCACGAGAGGAAGCCACATAAAGGAAAGAAGCACAACACTAAACATTAGAAACTTTAATATTACAATGCAAAACTTGAATGAAATTACCAAAAACATCAATTTTAACATGATCTTTCCAAAAAACCCAATTCTTATTAGCACAATTAGTCGTAGCATTATTAAAACCAAGAAATTTAGCAGTAGTTAATAAATTAGAGACATTAACAAGTGGTTTAAGTAAAACTAAATTAGAAATATCATGAATACAACAAAGATTCTTAACCCGCAAATGAGATGAAGCACACCTAATACCCCATAACATTCCAAATAATGGATTTAAACATAAAAACAAAACTTAACAAGTAGATTGTGAAGGGGTATTTCTACACGATTGTAATTCAAGGTTTTTACTTTCCTTCCACGTTTACCTTGAGCTTTCACAAAGCATAAATCATTGCCATATTTAGCAATTCATTTCGAAGAAATTTGTAAATCCTCATAATCAGTAAAAGCATCAGAATAAAAATTAGAAGAAGAAGGTGAGTTACAGTTAATATCCTTGCCCTTACCCAATTGTGGAAGCTCACCTTCCTTCAAAACTTCTTCACGACCATTAACAACAAGGTTTTCCTGATTGAAAACAGAGCAGCTAACTTCATCAAAATTAACGTATCTATTAGTATTCAAACTAGAATTTAAAATTGGTAAAGAAGAAGTAGTGTTATTTAGAGAATAAGAATCATTAAACCCAAGATTAACCACAATATCAACACCACTATTTGACGGGAGAAATGTAGTAGTATGTTCAGGTTGACCGGTAGGAGGATTCTCCAAAAAGGCCATATCCGATGGAGGGGGCGGGTAGCTCTAAGTATTTCCAAAAAAATCAACCACATTCAATGGATCATCATCAGACTTAGCATTACTTCCTTCCATCTCTAAAGATTGCAAAAATTTCATTACCATCTTCAGGTTGAGATTGTTTGGAAATAGATTTTTATTTTCAAAGATGGGGATGTAGACTAAAATATTCTTTAAAACCATGTCCATGCATTTTACAATACAAACAAAAAATTTGTAATTTCTCAAACTCCACTTTTTGAAAATACACATTAAGCTCAGAACTTAATCACTCCTCACCCGGGTGCTTCTTTCGAAACATCAAGTTCCACAAGAACCTTAGCTATGGATGGAACGAGTTATAGAAGCAGTTGCCTGATCAGTTTGTAAGGGTCTTCCAAGGATTAAAGAAATGCCAAAAATAATTTGCGAGTTGAATTCAAATTAGGAAATTAAAGCCAAAATGGAGCTATGGGTGATTCTTTCCTAACATCAAAGTTAGCTGTCCACTTGAGTATACACATTTGACACCCTTGTATATAGTAAGACCTCCAAGCAAACATACGACTGTAATCAAGATCATTCATCAATTGAATCAAAATATGTTTCAGATCCAACAAACCGACATGAAAAGCTCCTGTCAATTTCAAGCTCATTAAAAATTTTGAAATCACATCCAGATTCGGGCCACACAGCAAAAATTTACCAATAAGGGTTAGGGCAAACGTAGCAGCTAGTTGTGACCCAACAGTGTCATCAAACAAAAGCACCAAACATCCTTTAAAAGATGAGGGCACAAAATGAAGCTTAGGTGTAGTTGAGGAAAATCCTAAAACCACATCCTTAAAAAAGAACAAGAACAAGCATTCAGGGGGAAAGATGACGACATCATCTCCCAAAGGAAAACCACAAGAAAAACTCAAATGAAAGGCACAACGGAACAAAAGCCAAGCCAAAAATCAAGAAGAAGAAGCAGAAATCCGAACCAGGAAGCCGGAGAAGCGAAGAAAGAAGAGATCCGAATAGGAACCCTAAATTGCCTCGAAATTGCTTGGGAAACAGGAGCAACGATCGATGTGGTAAGCTACATGAATACTTTTTCTTCATTGCATTATGTTAAGATTAATAGTATCATTTAAATCTAATAAAAAATGTAATTTATAATACTTTATAATCAAGTCATTTTAGGTCTACCTCTACCTTTTTAACATAGGCTAAATCTAATAAATCTATTATCTACCCAGGTCATCAGAAGGCTGATAGTTTATATGGCCAAACCATCTATGAAGACACTCTCTAAAGTAGTAAAATTATAGTAAAATAAAATGTGACAATTGTCCAAAAATAATACCTTAAGAAAAATTTTAAGGCACCAAACTTTATTGATCCAGAACATAGTAAAAAAAACCTAAGGAATGTTTAGCAAGTATTGGTATTAAACGTTTAAACAGAAATAAAAAAGCAAATTATAGAACTTGTTTTTTAGTGCAAAAATTTAAAAATGTTTAAGTAACAAAACACATAAAATCAAGTTTTGCATTTGCATTCTTGCGGAGGGGAGCTATTTGTCTTATATATAATACACATTTTATCATTTTCAGGATTCTATACACATTTTATCATTTTCGGGATTCTATATTAATCTTAATATTATTTTTTTAAATTGTTTTCTTTTCAAAATATAGTATTATTTACCCTATTTCTTTAACACGAACCTATATTAATTTAATTTTTGGGATACTTTTATTTTTAAATTTCTATGCTTGAAAGTATAATGTTCTTATCTTTGATAAACTTAGATGATCAACTCTATAATTAAAAATAAAAGATAAAAAACCTTTGCCAATCTTTATACTCTCCAAGCGTCCATTTTCTAGAGATTTTCAATAGAGACATTTTTGCCTATCATAATGCCCTATTAGGGGATATATAATAATGGGCCATCTTATAGGCTTTTAAAAATAGAGATAAGACAAAATAATAATTATAATTAAGAAATTTTATTGTGTCTCTACAAATATATATATATATATATATATATATAATACCTAAATGTTAACATGTAACACTTATTTTCTTTGGCAAAAAGAACTTCTAATAAAATTGAAAATGATAGCTTTATTTTTTCAAAAAAAAAAAGAAAAAGATACCACAACTAATTAAAATATGAATTGCTCTATAAATTCCTATAAGATTAGCATGTTTACTATCTTCCACAAGGTGGCTACATTACTTCGTGTAGCGGATGGAACTAAATGAGAATATTATGAAAGTCACATTATAGAGTGTAGTGATTTACAATCCATCTAATGTGTGGGACAAGTTTAGGGTTTTAAATGCATTCATGACTGACATTATATATACCCATAAATGAATTATTGGTGTGATATTTTTAGCATGTTATCATTTTATATAATTAATTGGGTTAGGTGGTTCCATTTATGCTGTTTGAAGATAATAAGAGGTTAATTGGTCAAAGAGCCATGAATGATAGATTAATCTTTTAAAAAAACCTTATGAATTTCCTCAACTTCCTAGAGTAAACCAATCAAGGATTAGTTATTATTTGTGCCATCAAAAGTGATTTGATTAGTTCATTAGAGCTCTTGAAAGTAATAGGAGAAAGCTAATGATTTATTTCCTATTATTTCTCATATACCTCATAATAGAGAGAGTTTAAACTTTAAATGAAAAAGAGATATAATTTTCTTCAATATGGAGATCACTTGATGAGAGTTAATGTTGATTGTCCTTCAAAATTATCTATATTATACCGATGACAATGAAGCTTACCACATGTCTTTTCAAGACATATAAAGATTTACAAGGAGGGTTATTATGTCCACATAATTATATTCTTCAATTAAAATAATTAAATTTTAAGTTTGAAAAACCTCTATTCTATCTAAAATGATGTGAGGATCTTAATATGTGTAGCATATTACTTCAAATTCATTAACATCAAATATAATTTAAGTATCTTTTCATGTTTGTTCAAAAACTAGAGAAATTATAAAAAAAGTTCTTATCTCATAATAGTTTACACAACACTTTTAACTTCATTCCTAGCTTTTATGATTCCCTCCATCTTGATGGTGGATATTGTCAAACTGGTCATGGAAGTGCATGCTCAGATATCTGTGCGGAATCTTGTGTTCAATTTTTTCATTAAGATGAATAGTTTTCTAATGAATGTCAATCAAAATGATTAAAAATATATTATGTAGATTAACCTTTATTACTCGAGTTCTTAACATCTTTAATCATCTGAGTTGTTGATTTTGTGGATTTTGATGAAAATATTTCTATGAATGTATTCAACGGGTGTAATTAAAAGGTTGATGTTGATGCTTAGAATACTAAGGAGAATGAGGAGGGTTATCTTAATCCCTTTGTTGTTTTGATTTACATGATTGGAGTTGTCAAGTAGTCTCTTGATGTTGGTTCTTTCCCTTGTAGTCAAAGTGTCAAAATTTCTTATAGTAGATGATGATAGTCTCATATGTTGAAATTTATATGTAGATTCATTCAAAATAAATAAATTTTCACTATAGGAAAAATTCCTATTTTTGGTGGCCCTTTACCACAAAAAAAAAAACTAAATTCACCAGAAAAAATAGCTATATGGGAGATTGCTTATTCCAAGTAAAATGTCGCATTTTGAGCTGAGTTACCTACTAATATTCTTCTTGTTATTATGGCTAATTTTTCGTCTAGAATTGGCAACATAGCTATCCATCATAATTTTGCTAGTAATATTTGTTCAAATTTTTTATGACCCACCAAAAAGTTTTGGATGGAACCTACCGCCAGAAATTCTAGCGGCATCTGCTTTGTGAATTTTGCAGGTAAATCATGTAGATAATGATCACTAGAAATAGATGACTAACTCAATGTATGGTCCTTTTCTATGGTTTTTTCACCGAGAATCCATCAAAAGCCTATAGCACAACTAAAAAAAATCTTGCCTCACTTATTTTACAACATAACTTTTCTACAATAACAATCAATCAAAATAATTAATTTCAACATTTCTAAAATCACATATCAAGGTTGCACAAGAATATTAAAGCTGATTTAATTACACGTTAAATTAAAAGCAAATGTTCAAATACTTCTATGACAAACATCTAGTTCTTACATAATAAAAACTCAACATAAAATTTACAAACACATAATATACAATAACCGTCTTTCTCCTTTTTTTATGTTGATAGATTTCTATGAATGTAACTGCTCTCCCAGGTTTTGTAACTCCTCAAATATCTAACTTTACTTGATTTGCATGTCAGCATGTGATTTTGGAACATTCTAATGCTCTGATTTCCAATATACATATCACACTTAATAAATGATGATCTACATATACATTGCTAAATATTTTTATCCACATAATCTTAAACATTTTACTTAATAACTTAAAGGGAATTTCCCAAGAACTTTCCATAATAGATATTAGTTTCAAATTTTGTTTTGATGTTTACTATAAAGTAAAAAAAGTATAAGATCCATGATGATCAGTTAGAAATTTTATACATAAGGCATGGATTATATGATTATGTCAACATGAAATAAAACAATTTTTTCTATCAAGATTGTTGATTAATTTAATCTAAATATAAATTACAACCATGATTTATTAGTTATGAATCATTTGTAAATGTTATTGAGTTAATATATATGTTAGAAACTTTGGCCACAACTTCAAGTAAAGTGCCATATCATCTAGCTTTAAGAAATGTTAGGGTTAGCTTTGGGCAATATACAACTTTAAAGCCTAAAATGAAAGAATAAAAACAAAAAATACATATTTGAAATGTCCTAAAATATCAAATAGAATATCGATTATAACTCTATACATTGAATATGTTTCATTGTGCAAACCTTCTAGTGTTCTATAAATATTTTTTAGAAATATAGTTAATTGAATAAATATCTATACTTGATGTTTTCAGGCCCAACTAAATTTTCTTTTAATTCATATTGATGCAACTCCTTCCTAA